CGCCAGCCCTTTTTGGAGCCTTTCATTCAGGCTGCCAGCCCAGCCCCTTCCAGCTCATGATCAGAAATAGCTGGGACAAAAGTCCCTCCTATCCCTGAAAGTTGCTTTTTAAAAAATGCTTAAAGGCAGACACACAAAAAGGTAGAGGGAACTCTACCAAACCCCAGCCGAGGCCGGCTGACGTGAGCATCACCCCAGAGTCATGGGGAGAGATTCCAACAGCAGGCAAGGTCTTCCCAACCTGGCTTTGTGGGTCAGCTCCCTCCGGGCCTCAGTTTCCCCATCTCAAAAATGAAAGTAACTCAGCTGAATCAGCAATTTCTCTCTCTCTCTCTTTTTTTTTTTTTCTTCTAAGCTGTAGAACTCTGTTTTCCAATGGAAGCTTCCCCAGAAAACCAATCTGGCAGGCATGGAAATAGAGCTGCTATGGTTGATGGGGGCCAGATCCCAGGTGCTCAGCACCCCCCACTCACTGTCCCCAGAATTGCCCCCAACGCACCCAGCTCTGGATCCCATGGCTCTAAAAGGCCCGTCTGGGAACCATCAGGCTAAATGATCACTGTGGTCTCTCCTGGCTCTCAAGCAAAGCTCCAATCACCCAACCACCGGGGAGAAACAAAGCAAGCCCTTCATGCTGACTTGAGTCAGGGGCACAGACACTTGGCAACCTGCAGAGGGAGGGAGAGAAACCCAGACAGTTCCAAACCACGCTGGGCCTGGGGCAGGAGAGGGGGAGGACTGCCAGTCTGTGAGACAGGAAGAACAGCCCTGACCCGGACCCCTTTGAGTCACAGACCAAAGTATAGGGTGAGTTGGGAGGGGTCACCAAAAGGAACCCCCTCCCATAAAGGTGGAGGACCTAAGGCTCAGAGAGGGTAGCAGCTGGCCTGAGGTCACACAGCACCTAGTAGCAGAGCCTGACCTGGAGTCAGGGTCTCTGAGAAGCAATGCAGAGAAATCCCCCCTAGTTTAAAGTTCAGACAGACTCGGCAGGAATCTCCAGGGGAAAGCCCCCAAGCTTGCAAACTCGGAGTAGGACATTTTGGTGGCACTGGGTGGTGACAGGGCAGAGATGTTTGTTTTGGTTTCCAAATCAATGCATGACAACCTTGTCCACGGTACAGTTTGGGCAACCACAGTTCCCTCATGGTAAAGAGCTCAGAGCTGGTTGGCCAGAGGGGAAACCCAAGCCGTAGCAAACAGGGCCCAGGGCCCAGGCACCCCAGGCCAGGAGCTCTGATTTGGGTCGGTGTCTCCAAAGCATGGTTCCCATACCACTCAAGGCCCCTGAGACAATGTGAGGTGGTACAAATGACTCTTTGCATTTAAATTCTACAGACTGTAGAGGTGAACCGATAAACTATGGTTTGTCTGCACAGTGGAAAATTGTTCACGAGTCTAAAGGAATGTACTATTGAAACACACTATGACGTGGTTGAACCTACAAAACATTATCTAGGTGCAAGAAGCCAGACACAGAAGACTATGTATGATACGACGACACTGACATGGAGTGTCCAGAAAAGGCAAATCTACAGAAACCGAAAGCACATGAGTGTTGCCTGGGCTGGGGTGGGAAGGGGGATTCACTGCAAATGGGCATGAAGGCTCTTTTTAGGATGATGCAATTTTTCTACAACTGGGTTGTGGTGATGGTTGCACAACTCTGCATTTACTAAAAAAAAAAAAAAATATATATATATATATATATCACTGAATTGTGTGCTTAAGAGGATTTTATGATATGCAAATTACACCTCAAGAAAGCTGGTGAAGAATGTTTTTCTTAAGTCAAAATAGGGATGGTGGTGGTACATGGTTCTGGCCGCAGATCCCAGAGGAGGAACCCAAATGCATCCAGCTTGGAGAACACAGAGCTACACGCACCAGGCACATGTACTCTGAGGAAGCAAGTGGGGGTGTCTGAGGCTGTGACTTCCTCCAGGTAGACGGGAGGAAACCCTAGAACCTTTCCTTTCCAGGCACAGGTCCCTTCCACTGGTCACTGCCTGGGGCTCCATGCTGGACAGCCTCAAAGCATCTAATGCCTTCGGTGGCCCAAGCAAACACCGTGGTCCCATCCCTTAGACAGTGACTTCTCTCATGGCCAGCGGACTGGGAGCTCAAAGTCAAGGTTATATTTTGTCAATGCTGGAAAGACCTTTTGAGATCATCTAGTCCGGCGATTTTTAAATTTTTTCTTTTAAGGTGTTGAGATGCCTGACCTCCTCCCGAGAGCAAATTCTCATGAGAAACCCAAATACAGAAAGAAGTAAAAACAGAATGTTACGGGTATACGTTCATACTAGAAGCTCACATACAGAACAGTTAGTTACCTATTCTGAGTCCCATCAGTGAAGCTGATGAGGCTATTTTGGTTCATTAACATTTAGAACTGGGACCACAGATGACAGTACCATATTCTATTTAATCCTATCTCCAGCTTTGGCTGCAGGGTTTCACGAAAATCCTGACTCACACAGATAAGTAGCTACAAATGGGAACGGTTTTTAGCGGTTTGCTCTGCAATCTCAGAGTACTCTTCAGACAAACAGAGAAAGGCAGGCGGGTGGCTTTAACTTGAGGCCAACTACTAACAAGTTAACAATTAACCATGAGTTGACATGAAGAACTTAAAAGTGAGCACATTTTTTATAACCATATTAACACTGTAATATAATTTAAAATATTAAGTCTTGGGGCATCTGGGTGGCTCAGTGGGTTAAAGCCTCTGCCTTCAGCTCAGGTCATGATCTCAGGGTCCTGGGATCGAGCCCTGCATCGGGCTCTCTGCTCAGCAGGGAGCCTGCTTCCCCCTCCCTCTCTGCCGGCCGGCCGCCCTGCCTACTTGTGATCTCTGTCAAATAAATAAATAAAATCGTTAAAAAAAAATTAAGTCTTACATAACAGTCCAGGAAACCCAAAACCATCTCCAAGGCAGCCTGGGGCTTCCAGGAGCACGGTGCTAGGCCACTCACCCCTCACTACACAGAAAGGGGAAACTGAGTCCCAAAGAAGGGAGTATACTTGCTTTGGACAAATCCAACTTGAGCCCTGAATCAACTCCGGAAAAGAGGCACCTCCCCAGCTCACCAAAAAAAATGGAGGAAGAGAAGGCGCTCACACAGCCCCGGGGGACGGGAGGACAGGCACCCACACTCCACCTGCCCCAGCAGTGCCCATCTCATTCCAGGCCAGCGCCAGAAGCTGACATCACACCCCACACCCTGGATGCAACTTGAACAGAACGTTGCTCAACGCCAACCTATCTCCCTCTGAGATTGGGCACGGTTTTTCCATCTCCTTAGTAGCCACGTCCAAAAAGCACACACAATAAAACAAACACAGCACAAGCCTGAGGCATGACGACACAATCAACAGTGGGACACAGAAGGGCCCATCCCTCTGTTTCACCATCGAGAACAGTGCCTGCTCCCCTACCCCACCCCAAGGAAGCTGCCCACAGAGGCAGAGGTAGCCTCCCCCTGGCTGTGGCGGGGCATGAATCCATTCTCAAGTCCTCAAGAGAAGATGGGCCCGGGAGAGGGGCTCCTCCCCAGCGCAGTGAAAGACCTCCCCACGGAAAGCCAGGCCCTACATGAGAGACCCGAGACTCCCAGGACCTCTGGTCCATGCTGGCCTAACAAAGCCTACCGTCTTTAATAACATCAACTGATTACTTTATCCCTTCCAAAAAGCATCACCAACCTCCTCTCCCCTTCTGCAACTGGGGGTAGATTTTATTATTCCTATCTGTCTAATGAGCAAATACGTTTCCAAATGGTCCCACTATCTCTCTGGCAGGTGCTGGAGGAGACCCATGCCCCTGAACAGACCTCTGGGCTCAATGTAAGCACCAGGACTCAAGGAGTGGAAGGAAAGAGCCTTCTCACAATACCCTCCAAGCCCTAGAGTTTGGAGCCAAAGCTCCCAGTGTAAAGTTGCCCATGCTAGGACAGCACAGGGCCCTGCCCCCACCCAGGCCTGTGAGGCTAGAGAGACCCCTCTCCTCTTACTGGAAAGCTGAGCCATCAGTCCTGTCAGCCAGACTGTGCGCAGGAAGCAATGTCAGTTTCCCAGCTGGGGAAACGGGACCCAGCAGGCCGGTCCTGCAGGCAGTCTACCCCGCACACTAGCCAGAGATGGTGGTCTGGGTCCAAACAACGTCCAGTCTTCGGCCCAAGGTTCTCTCCTCCTGCACGCCTTTAGGGCTGCATCTGTTGGCCCTCAAAGCCATGACAGTAGGGGGTGGGGAGAAGAGGGGTGAAGAGAGGGGTTTTTCAAAGCTTGTGGCCAGTCCAATGGCAGTCTGGTTATCCAGACCCAACAAACAGACTTTGCAGAGCTGGAGTAACATGGCAGACTCTGACCCCAGTGGATTTGCCCATTTTCAAACACATGATTTCATTTAATTTAAGGGACAAAAAAAAAAAAAAAAAAAAAAAATGGGCCAGCGGGTTGGTTAAGAGTTTTTTTCTTTTCACCCATGGAGGGAGGGGAGCCCGTCTCCCACATCCTTGGGGAAATACCTACAGCGGGAGACAGACTAGCCAAAAGACGTTCAATTCACTAGTTCAAATCCTGGTTTTGCCACTATCAGCAAAGCCCCTTTTGGCAAGCCCCTTGCGTCGCTGTGCCTCAGTTTCCTCATCTACAAAATGGGGATAAGAATGCCTTACGCTCTGCGTTGGTGTGAGGATTAAATGAGATCACATAAAACACCAGTGGTCATTATGACACCTAGAAAACAACCGGCCCCGACCAATGACTGCACGGACGTGTCCCCTACGGTAGTAAGCACCCGCCCCCATCCTTGGAACTAGTAAGTGAGTTTTCCATGCGTGTGTAGGGCCCTATGCAAACACAGCTTCCAGCCCACCTGCTAGGACCAGCTGGCCGCCCCCAGCCCCTCCAGAACGCACGCATTCCGCCGCCTCCTGGACCTGGACGACCCCTCCGCGGGAGCTGCGGGGTGGGGGGAAGGGCAGGTCCCCACTCACCTCCGCTTGTACTCGTCGCGCTCGCGCTTCACCTTAGCCAGCACGTTGTAGAGCGCGCGTATCTCAGGCGTGATGGTGTCGATCTGCACGCCCACGCCGTCGGGGTGCACCCACGACACGCCGGGGCCCTGCACCGTCTCCACGCCGCCGCCGCCCGTGCGCCGCACCTGCGTGTAGCTCCAGATGGTCCCAGGCAGGCGGCCGTAGTGCTGCGGGTGCGAGCCGCCGCCGGGGGGCAGGCCGCCCAGGGCAACGGTGTTGGCGTTGGCGCCCGCCGCCGCGCCGCTGCCGCTGCCGTGCCCCGCGCCGGGCGCTGGCGGCCGCAGCAGCTCGGGCCCGGTCTGCACGGCCTGCTCTCGAGAGAAGGTCTTGTAACGCAGCCGCCGCTCGCGCTCGCTCTGCTGCTGCTCCAGCTGCTTCTCCAGCAGCCGGTTGCGCCGTTCCAGCTCGTGCACCTTGGCCAGAAAGCAGCGGAAGCGCACGTTGAGCCCCTTCAAGAGGTGGATGTTGGAGCCCAGGTCGTCCCGCAGCGCCGCCGTCACCGGCGACGGCCCCGGCCCGGCCCCACCGCCGCCGCCGCCCCCGCCGGGGCAGCTCCCGCCGCCGCCGCCGGGCGGGCAGCCGAAGGCCAAGGCCATCTCCCCAAACAGGAGCGAGTTCACCATGCGCCGGCTGCGCGGCTCAGGGCCCCGGGCCCGCGGCTCCAGGTGCGGCTCCAGCTCCGGGCAGGGCTCCCGGCGCTGCCGGGCCAGGGCGGGCGCGGGCTCCAGCTCGGCCGGCCGGGCGGTTCCAGATGCGCGCCAGATGCGGCCTCCGCAGCTACAGCGGGCCGGACCGCCCCCCGGATGTGGGCGCCGAGGCGAGGGACGGGACTCGGGCAGCGGTGGAGGCCGCGAAGGCTGCGTGAGGTGGCGAGGGTCGTGGGTCCCAACTCCCCGGCTGTCAGAGACGCTGTGGTGGGGCCGCGGCAGCCGCACGCAGAGGACTCTCGGCCGGCACTGCCCCTCTGCGGCGGGCCCCGCCCACTGCAGACACAGGCCCCGCCCCCCCCCCTGCCCCGCCCCTCCCACCTCCCTCTGCGGTGCTCCCGGAGCCCGAGGCCCCGCCCTTTAGGCCCGCAGCGCCGGGCCCCGCCCACGAGCCCGTGGCTCCGCCCACTCCCGCTCTCCGCCGCTTTTCTAGGCCGGGTAGAGCGGCGGTCTGCAGCTCTGGCTCCGCCCAGCTCCCGCCTGGACCACGCCCTCTCCCGCGCCGGGTCCTGCCGCCAGGCTCTATTCGGATTCTTTGCCTGGAGACGCGGACCGCAGAGCTGCACCAGGTCCGCGGTTAGCTGGAACCGCCGCAGAGCCAGCCCGGCCCCTTAAAGGAGCCGGCAGCCTGAGTAGCGCACGTTTCCCCGTTAGGGCGCCCCTTCCCCCCACGTCCTCTAACCAGGAAGCTCCTCTTCTCTCCCTTTCCCACCCCTATCCCCCCGGCCCTAAATTCCCAAGGCGTGTCCTGGAAGGGCTGGGGAACCATAGCGTCCGAAGGTGCATCCGCACCCCACCCCCACTCCAACCTGGGGCGGCCTAGATCGACCTTCCCAGGATAAGGCAGCGCTTCCGCCGGCACGTCCCCCACGTGGTGAACCCGGGCAGGCTCCTTCACCGCTTGCCCCCACCGATCGGCGCGAGCCTGTAGTCCCGAGATCGGCTCCGGCACTGCCGATCCCGCTAGTCTCCCTGCCCGCCGCGGTAGCGGCGCCGAGTGGGGGGTGGGGGAGGGGGAAGGCTGAGCGAAGACCCTCCAGGAATATGACACCAGGGCAGCTGCGGCTCCCGGCCCTGAATGACCACCTCCCCACCACTGCACACTCACACGCTGAGATGCAGGGGACCCCACAGCTGGGGTACATTTCATCCAACCACTTAGGGGGCAGCATGCGGGCGGAACCAGCCTGGGGGGCGGAGCCAACCCGAGAATTCAATCATTCATTCCTTCATTCAATCTTTTCGGATCTACGACCCTAAAGACCAAGTTCTCCAGGAACTTGAATCAAGTTGCAAATATCTATCATTGTTAATGATCGTAATAACTCCCGTTACTGAGCAATTCCTATATGTCAGGTGCCATACATTTATTATCCCCATTTTACAGAGCAGGTCAGTGAGACCAGAGGAGCAACAAGCCATCCCAAAGCGCGTGCTCTAACCCTCAATCCCACACTACTGGCCTCCTGTGCATTTTCCCAATTGATCCTCTCCATAAACCTCAGAGGGGAGGTGACCCACACCTTTGAAAGCCTGTGGCTTGCACTGTGCATACTTAATCAGACATGCGGCATGTTCCGGATTCTTCCAGCTGCATTTTTTGAATTGCAATTTAGTTTTGTCTTATTAACTTTTGTGTTTTGCCTCGTGTGTACGCTTAAGGGCAGGTACCCTGTCTTACAGGGACAATGGTTTGGTGTTCTCAGTGACAAAAGAGACACAAAAGGAGACTTGGGCTTGCTCTGGGATGAGGTTGTGGCTGTTGTGTTCATCTCCTGCTTTTGATTTAGTCACAAGAGCAAATCCTTCCCTTGTTTCCTTCCCTCAACCACAGCTCCACGCTCCCTGCCAAAATGGGCTCACCTTTACAACACTCAGCACCGAAACTCACCTGTCTCAAAACCTTCCTCTGCTTTGCCCAACCCAGTGTGGTCACTGTTCTCCACTCTGTTCCCTCGGCTCTTGGTGATTTTGTTTATCTGACCGAAAGAATCAAACCCCCTTTGCCTTAAAGCAAGAATTCCGGACTCCCCGCTCCAAGAAGTTCGAGGATGGAATTTATGACACTGAGATGGACAAAAGTTCTATCTTTATTTTCACTTATCTCTAAATGATATTTAGCATCGCCTTTGATCATGAGTGCAGGCAACCAGTAAAAGACCTTGCAATTTTGTCACTAATAGAAATCAAAGATATTTTCCTATCCATAACTACGGAGACTGTAGATATCTCAAAATACCATTTAAGCCACCACAACTCTGAAATTAAGATCATATTAGACTCACCACTAAATCTTATTATTTAATGTGTTAGTAAGAAGCACCTATATCACAAAATTTTTTAAATATTTCGATAGATGTATTTCAGTAAAAATTGTTTCTATTGCAATCCTAACGCCTTTTTTTTTTTAATTATTCTGCAAAGAGGTCCACAGGCTTCACCAGATGCCTAAGGGGCCTGTGGGACAGAAAGGGTTAAGAAGCCACACACCTGGGGAGTGGCTCCCCTTCAGCCTGGTTCCAGGGAGGATAAGTCCTACCCAGCAGTATTGTCAGGAGTTGGTGTGGGGAGGTGGGGGGCCAGGGAGCATCCAGCCCTATCCTGGGCATTGGAGAGATTCAGACATTCCATGATCATTCATTACTTGAGGGCTTGCTTCAGCACAGACCCTGCGTTAATAGAAGGCAAGGGTTTAAGGAGTCCTGGGAGAGCTAACGAAGACAACCGAAAAGATGCTCCTGAAGAGAGGGGTTGGGGGGCGGGGGGGACAAGAAGGGACACCTAGCCTGGAAGAGGTGACCGGGCAGAGACCAGAAGATCTAAAGGAAATGGAGGAAGTAGTACCCAGACTGAAAGGAATTTCCATCGGAGCCATAGAAATATGATATATACAAACAAAATGGCTAGAAAATAGTGCTGTGGTCACATAGGAGCAAAAATGAGCTGTTGTGTATCTTGCTCTTTGTGGGTAAGATAAGAGGGGAGGCTAACGTAATGTCCCTCTTCTAATCGGGTAACCAACCATCTTCATTTGCTCTGGACCAAGGGTTCCCCCTTGATGCGGGGTTTTCAATGCTAAAACCAGAAAGTTCCAGGCCCACCAAGACAAGCCCGTGGAGCTCTGGAGACTTCTGAGGCCAGTCCATAGAGGGGTAGGAGCTAGCCCCAGGTCACCTGGAAAATTGGTGGCAAAGCTTGGTCTCGAATTTTGGTCCCACTACCCAGCCAATGTTTGGTCCTACCCCGAGCTGCTCAGTGAGGTCCATGTTTCCATCCCCTGGACACCCACACCTCCTCCATCTGTCATCCAAAGGGAGCACAGGTGGGTCCTCACTGGATGGGGGGATCACTCACACATACAAAGGAATATCCCCAAGAGGAATGCCAGCCTCCCTCCACCTGCTGAACAAGGATGGGTTTTTTCATCAGTGAAAAGGGCATAACTTCACCCATGAGTCCATTTTTATAGCTTCTGCCTGCCATCATGGCCATGCTGCCTGCTCTGGCAAAAAGCTGGGGACACATGGTAGGCTCTCAATAAATGGTTGCTGAATGAATGACTAAAAGAATTAGTGAATGGACAAACAACCTCATTCTCCCCACCCCACTCCCCTGCCATTTCACCTGGTAACCACCCTCAGCCCGCAGGTGCCAAACTCATGCATCACATCTCTGCCCTCCCAGAATCTTCCAGGTCCGGGGTGGAGGGCTTCCTTTAGGCTCCATTAGCACCACGCCTACTTGCCCCATGACAGTCCCAGGTACCCACTCTTGTCATTGCCGGCGTTTTCATCTGCATCTTTACCCCATCCCCATCCCAACCTTCCAACACTTGCTAGACCAACTTACATAATTCACTTGTTTCAGTGGATTTCAGTAAATTGACCAGGTGGTGCCACCATCACTATAAATCCGTTTTTGGAATATTTCATCTCTCCCAATAACATCCCTAGTGCCCATTTACTGTTATCCCCTGTTTCTACGCCCTGTCCCACAGGCCCCTTGGGCGTCTGTCTCTATGGATTGGCCTTTTCCAGTCATTTCACATAAATGGAGTCCTACAATACGTGGTCTTTTGTGTCTTACTTCTAACACTGAGCATCACGTTTTCGCCATGTCGTAGCATTCGTGGATGATCATCCTCGTTATTGACAACCTCTTTTTGGACTTTGATGGTCTGGATCCTTCATTACCTCATTTAACCTTCTGCACTTCAGTTCCTCCACTGGACATAGGACCAAGTGAGAATATCTCCCTCAAAGAGTGCTTGTCAAAATTAAATGAGCTAATACATGTGAAATGGGCAGGTAGTCAATGCTCAATAAATATCAGCTATTAGGGGCACCTGGGTGGCTCAGTGGGTTAAAGCTTCTGCCTCCGGCTCAGGTCTTGATCCCAGGGTCCTGGGATCAAGTGCTGCATCGGGCTCTCTGCTCTGCAGGGAGCCTGCTTCCCATCCCCTCTCTCTGCCTACCTCTCTGCCTACTTGCGATCTCTGTCTGTCAAATAAATAAATAAAAACTTTTAAAAAATCAGCTATTAGCACCATTAATTTTTTTTCCCATTCTTTTGCTTATGCGCCTACAGAAAGCCCACAGATATATAAAGAGGTAGGGGGAAAGAGCATCTCCCACCAACCCATACCCAGGGACCCTCTCTGGCATCTCAGGTCAGTGCCGCTGCCAGGGAGAAGAAACTGCTCCCTCTTCCCTGTGTCCTCCTCCCCTGACACCCCCCTCCCCCGCAGCTGCAGCTTCTAGAACATTCCCATCTTGTTTCTTCCTGGTAAAAGGAAAGAGCAGTAAAATGTGATGGCACAGACGAAAGGGAGTGGCTGCAAGCTCTGTGTGATGCTGCAGGTGAAAACTAATTCTTTCAGCAGCACAGGCAAATTCTTGAGATGTCCTGTCTCTCCT